GACCTTCTGAGGCCCACGTAGACCACAAAGGCCGGGTCCTCAGGAGGATGCAGCCCATGAATTTGGACACGACTATACTGTGTGAGTAGAGGACTGCTTTCTCTTACTAAGTTGCCCGACAGTGTGCCAGAATCACTTTGTGGCAGATTGAAAAATGCAGCAATGGAAAACTTGCCAAATATTTATCTGCTAATGTCAAACATCTTACTCAAACACAACAGCTGATTTACAGTAAATGCTGATTGAAGAATGGGATGCCATCTTTATGACCATGCTGGTGAGCAGCATGAGGAGGTGCCAGGCTGCTGTGCCTGTGTGTTCTTCCACACGCTACCACAGGCCACAGTTTATCAAATAAATGAATTGTTAAATTGCTTGTTTCTGCAGATTTCAATCATCTAATTCAATAAACCACAAAAGTCACAATCAACTCCACAGCAGAATAATCTGTTTGGCAATGGAAGTTTTTCATGGGTGCAGCCCACTCAACTCTGCTGCTCAACCCACCAGTGGATTTTTCTTACAAATGTAGCATATTTTAAGGGGAAATAAACAGGATTCAATGATCTAAGCATTGTTACAATAAATCAACAATTCACCAAATGCAATTTTTCCTTTGTTTTTGTGCTGAACTTAAGATGAATACACTGTGGTCATAAAGACATGCCATGAGTGACAACAAAACCAAGGTAGGCTGTGGCATTTAAACAACACTGCATTGTTTTGCTGCCATATGATTGCACTATACCTAATAAAGTGGCCAGCCGGTGTACAATGAATTATGGCTTTTAGTAGAACACTGATAGTAATTGCAGTTTTTTAGTGTGCAGGTTGGACAGTAAAGGGACGTCATTGCTGCAGCTCGATACTGCAGTTATTTTTACCTGCACAAAGCACTGCAGTCATTAATCCAGTAAAGCAAGTGTGAGAGCCACGGGACTGAATCCGTCCAACGACATGCAACTGCAGGTGCCTTAGCTAATAATCCACCACAGATTAAAGGTACTATGAAGACTTAATTAGTTTGGGAAGAACAACAGGGATTAGGCAGGCTTACCAGGGGGTCTCTTAGTTTTGTAAGTTTCACTTAGCATGCAAATCTTTCAGAGCAGATGGGCACGTTGTAAAATGACCTGATGTTCAGAGGTTTTAGCTTAGCAATAATTAAATGAAATTAAAAGATGCCAAGCCTTGTTGCAACTCTGTAACTCAAGATGAGACTTCTAGCAAGATAACGAGATTGGTCACTGGTGTGATTGCTGTCCAAGTTTTGAATTTACAATGCAGCCTGCAGGGGGCACTAGAGGAACAGAGACTGAAATGCACGAAGGACTGAATCCAGTCCAATCAGATCATTGTTTGGTTGGAAACACCAGTGTGGAATAGAGTCAGTGCAGGTTTTACAAAGTATGAAACAGGAATGAACATTTATAAAAGAGTATGTTCTAATAACAGAATCAGCTTCTTACAAAATCTTTAAAAGCACCTCAGATGGTCATTATACCCCAGCAGTTGTATAACATGTTTAATCCGTACAACTGTGGAGGGCCAGGAGTGACAAAATGAATTCATTAAATACGCAATTTAATAATTAATTAAATGTTTCATTCATTCATTAAAATTAGAATTGATTAATTGAATAAATATTTCAATAATTAATTACATGCCCATTCATTTGATTTAAAACATTTAAAAAACACTTTTT